GGGATTGAAAATCACCACCGGCTTCGGGTACATAGCGTCGGTGACCATTTTCATAGCCGCCAACTGCGAGCTCTCAGGCGCCGAAAACACTGCCACATCAAAAGAGTTCCAAATTCCGGTATCACCACCGGAAACTGAAGAGATATCCGTGTGATCGAGACGGTTTGAGGGGAGTGACTCGAAAGCTTGAATTGCAGCTTGTGTTAAGGCGATATTAGGCCAGAGGATGAGAATGTTAGCAGGAGAGCCCTTTCTTTTAATGGATAGGTCTCTGAAAATGTCGTAAGCGAGACGAGAGAGGGAAGAAGGTGAATCATCGCTGAGGGGAATCTCGACGCGGAACCTGGGTTGTTTTAGTTTTTTGAGTTTGCCTGCAAGTTTGGGGTTGTTGAGGGGTTTTTCTAGGGAGGTGGAAATACAGGTTTTGGCTTGAAGAATGGCTTCTTCTCTGGAAGAGGGAGGAATGGAGGAGGAGGAGAGGGAGAAGTGGAGAGTGAGAGTGGGGATTCTGGGCTTGTGGGAGAGACTTGGAGGTGTGGAAAAGTGGTTGTAGTAATGGCGGAATGCAGGGAATTGAAGAGATGGGAGGAAGGTTTTAGAGATGGGAAATGGGGTTGACAGGTCTGTGATTAAGAAGTTTTGTGATTGTACGGGAAAGTTGACAAGAGGGGAAGCCATTTTTGGCAAGAAAGTGGAGTAGTGATGATTTCAGAGACGATCTCCGGAAACAGATAAGGCTATTACAAGTACCAATAACGAAAAAACAAAAAACATTTTTAAAGCACTGTTCTTTATTGTTCTATACCAGGCCAGGCAATACTTGTTGAACTAACTCTGTTTGCCTTCAGAATGGAACCAGCTTAAACTTAAACAGAATGAAAGTAAACAGCTTTAGTTACCTTTTAATCGCAAACAAATCTGCACTTAACCTTTTTGGGAAAGTTGTATACTTTTTCTCTTTATAAAGTTTAAAGCTTGAGTGCTCTGAAGAGTTTTTGTAAGTTAGGCTTGAGTGTCCAATAACCAAACACAATGGTCACGTGTTCCAAAATCTCATGACTTCCATGTTACAAACTAAAAGCTCTACACACACTATTAGTCCACTGGAAAACTATGAAACTTCCCTGCATACATAGACAATGAGTGGTGGCACACAAGAACACGAACCTATTTGTTTCAAGGACACTGCCAGGGGAGGAGGGAGAGCAGTAGGCAGCTGCAAACTCCCAATTTAGGTCAACCTAAGAGATCTACTTATTGAAATTTACATGTAAATCCCATCTTCGAATACCATAGTACACAAATTCAAAATACAGTCACCCAGCAAATCCAGTTAGAAAGGTTCAGCAAAAGCAAAAAACTACTAAGGTCAACAACAATGATAAAACAAATACACTTGCTTGGGCCAAAATTCACCCAAATCAGATTATGTTGCTAACTTAAGCAACTGGGGGTCGAAGGACATGATCCTGCGAGGTATCCACTGCAGCAGGTGGCATGAATTGCCACATAGCAACGCCAGGATAACCAATGAAAGGCACCAACTTGTTACCAGGTGCTTGACCTTGAGCAGCAAATGCTGCAGGAATTGCAGGAGCAGGCAAGAAGCTCGGTTGAGAATTCATGGTCTTAAGTTGCTGCTCCAGCTTCTCCTTCTCTGCCTTCAGCCTCTGCTTCTCATCACGAAGCTCATTCTTCTCAGTCTACACAGTAGCATGTCAGGAAAAATACATTATTACAGAAAATTCTTAATATGAAAGTGTTAGAATAGTTTTTCAACTGAAAGCAATTAAGAGTAGATAACCTTCAACCCTTTAATCTTTTCTTGAAGACTTGAATTTGCCTCCTTCAACTTCTGAGCTTCACCCCGTAACTGAGTCACTATTCGGACAGCATCAATCAAAATGGCAGCCTTGTCTGTTTTAGGAGGCCTTCCAGGCTCTAGGATTGAACCCAATTCCATAAACCTATTATTTACACCAGATTTTAGAATTAGTTGCCCAGAGAGAGAAACAGGAACAGAGAGGAAGAGACTACTTGTCATTTAGCCTATCCCGGCGCAACTTCTCCCTACATGCTTTGGAGCTTGAGCCACTGCATGATTCAGATCTACCCCTGCGGCAGGACAAACATGTGAGAACAGGGAAAAGATAGATTCCTCTAATGTGCCATCCTTGTAACTACATATGTACCAACTGTAGCAAACATAAACATATTGTTGAGCAAGAACATAATGTCTATGCTATCAAATCATAAGCACTGAATGCGCTTATAATAATTGCACCTGTTATGTATATATCTTTTTGAAATAAACAAGGAATGGAAGAAACATGTAACCAACAATCCTAGCATGAAACCATAGATAATTTAATGCTATCTTCACAGGTAGAGTTTCTGTGGGCTCCAACCAGCAGACAAGGTACCATGGAGGCGGCACCAGCTGTTGACTCAAATATAAAGCCATATTTAATGTTCTTTGTTGCCTCCTGCTAATAATTTTTTTAAAAAATAAATAAAAGTATAGTATAGTATTGTATTAACAATTTACCAAGGGAGTACCGCTCATATACAAGATATTTACAAGTCAATCAAATGGTTAATGACATTTCCAAAATCTTACATCCTATTAATGTCATGACCCCAAATCATAGAACCAAAAATATGAATCCATCTATCTCTAATGTTAACAACCTCCCTCTCAATATCCTCAATAGTTCTAGCATTTCTGCCCTTCCAAACCACCCAAAAGATAGATAAAGGATATTGCTTCCTGCTAATAACGAGTGATTCACAATCTTAATTCACTTTTAAAAATTCAGTTCAATTCCTATTCTATTCCTTACTATACTTTTTATCTCAAAAAAAAGAAAGAATATAATTCCTTATTCCAACCCTTATCATTTCTATTGCGTTCCTTTTCTACAGTCATCTGCAGTGTACTCCTATTCCTTTTGAAATTAGCATTTTAAACCAAA